TACCTAGCCAAACTTGAAAAAGAAGAAAACAGCCAGATGCCAAAAAACCAAAGGGCCCTAAAGCTACAGCTGAGAAGTCCAGCAAATGCTGTAGCAGCCCAGGGCCTTGCACAGGAACAGAAGGGGACGCTGGGCTCATGGGAGGTGAGCAGCAGGATCTACTATCTAATGTCCAACCTCCATCAGGCTGGCAAGTCTGTGAAATGGAACTAGACAAAGCTGGCCCACTGGGACAGAGAAACTGCAGGAATGGCTGCTACCTGTCTAGTTGAGGGGGTGGAAAAAAGAGGCCAGTGGCACATATGGGTGTGGGGTCTAATGTTACAATTCTGTATGAAATGGACTGAGGAATTAATATACAATTCAGTTATTCATTCCCTGAAAATCCAGAAACACCTAGTATGTACCAGGCATTGTTCTAAGTGCTGGGGATATAAAAGAGAAAAAAATGAACTAAAGAGATAAAAAAAAAAATCCTTAACTTTATGGAGCTTACTTTCTAGTGGGGAGATAGAGACAGCAATAAATTAATGTTCTAGGACTTGCACATTAGAAAAAGCACAAGAATACTGGGCAGAAGCTAATGCAATACTGTCCTACAAAGGAACTACCCCCACTCCTCGCTTAGTGACTAGCTCACTATCCAACAGTTTGCATTTACAGCAATAGTAAAAAATCTACTATCTGACTATTTTGTGCTTTAACAAGGTGGTGGGCATGGTCACCACGGGTGTGGACTGTGCCCTGCCTCGCACTCTCAGCTCCTTCCTGCCAGACTCCTTGTCCAGCTGCCACGTGGGGTTGGCTTCCTCTGTGGCCATGGCCTCCGGGGGGACACGAAGGCATCACCAAGCCAGTGGACACCTATTCTGGGTTCCTAGCTCCTCCTATGCAGCCTGAGGCCCTGACGATCAAAACTGCTGTAGGGTGGGAAAGGAGGAAAGAAAGTGGCATTGGAGAGGGTGTTTGGAAGAAATACATGAGAGTTTAATGACATTCCAAAGTGAGCTGAACTGGCCTAAAGCCTCTGACTTGGTGGGGCGAAGTGCATAGCCAGGCTCCCAGCACCCTCGCAGGAAGCCCCAGCCTCTGCCTTGGTGACTCGCCAGGTCAGGAGGGCAGAGCAGGCTCCCGGATCCTGAACACAGGCCTTGCAAGGGTGGGAGTAGAGCCCTGGAAGTGGCTCCCTGACGGATGCTTTGACCGAGCACAGGAGGAAGGGAAAGTGGTTAAGCCATGGGCCCTCCAGTCACATAGCGCAGCTTTATCCAGCTTTGTCTCCTCCAAGTCTCCTTTTCCACAGAGGAATAATCCATAACTGAACTCGTCACAGTGATGAGCACATCAGTAGATCTTAACTGTTATTATTTCTATGATCATATTTTCTAAATTAAAAAAAATTGGACAAATGGATGGTCTGAAAACAGAAAAAATAAATCCTTTATTTTCACATAACGCCAATTTTCACATAACAACATGATCTTTGGAACCTAACCTTGTAGATAAGTGAGGAGCGGGTGTACTTCAATCTACAGTACATGGAACTCCCACAAAATTAACAACCATCACTAAAAATTAGTTTACAATGAAAAGCCACAAACCACATAAGGAAACAAACCAACATAAGGGAAAGTCAGACAAAACAGACTTTAATCAAAATGCTTTACCAGGTATAAAGAATCACCAAGAAGCTCTAACAATTCTGAATCTGAATGCCCTAACATAGCTTCAAACATAAAAAACAAAGGTGACAAATTCTCAGTCTCAGAATATTTTAACATATCTTTTTGAAATGTATACAGCAAACAAACAAATAAAAATGTGAGGATATAGAACATTTGAACAATACAGTTAATAAGCTTGACCCAACAGAATGATATGACACTAAATTTGAAAACATAGCTGAGATGATCACCAAAACTGTCTCAAACAGAAATGATAACCATGACTAAACTTATCATCAGTAAAGGAATAAATTAAGAGTTAAAATATCAATTAAAACAGTACCTGTTCCAGATGGTTTTACAAGCTAGTTTTACCAAACCTTCAAGAATCAGATAAACCACATCTTATAGAAACTGTTTTCAAAGAGGGAGCTCAGCAAGGTAGCTAGATATGCAGTGAATAGATAAATATCTCATTCACAACAGTAGGAAAAAGGATGAAGAACCTAGGAAAAATTCTAACAAAAGACTGCAAATGATAAAAAGATAATATAATAAAAAGTCACTTTTTCTTAAATTAACATATAAATCCAATGCAGTACCAAACTCTAATAGGGTTCATTAAAGAACCTTATGAGCTGATTTTAAAAGTCTTGTAGCTATCTAAGGGGAGAACATTCCAAGCAGAGGGAATATTAGAGGCTAATGTCCTGAGGAAGGAATGTGCCCAGCGTGTTCCAGGAACAGCAGGAGGCTGGTGTAACTGGAGCAGACTCCGGAAGAGAGTCAAAGGAGATGAGGTCTGACAGGGAACTGGATACCACAACTGTTGGGCATTGTAGGTTGTTGTCATGATCCCAACTTGAACACCGAGTAAGGATGGAAGGCACTGGAAAGTCTAAGTGGAGGAGGGATGTGTCTGAGTTATGTTTTAACATGATTAATTTCATTACTGTGTTTAGAATAGACCAAAGAAAGCAAGCGGTCACTGCAGTCACCCAGGTGAGACATAATAGCGCTGTGGATCAGGGAGGTCACGATGAGATTCAGTTAGATTCTAAAGATGTTGATAGGATTCACTGATGGATTAGATGAAGGGTGAAAAATAGAAGAATTCAGGATAACTTGATGCTCAGTTTTTGAAATTAGGCAGCATGCAGTGATTGTAATAAGCAGTGTTCATGATTCTAACAGAAATCTAAACAACGTAATACATGCGTGGAAAAAATACACAAATGAAAACGTCCAAAATCACTTGTCAATATGTATAATAAATCCTATACACTATATATATAAAGTTAAGAATTTAACTTAGAAACAACAAACTTTTAAAAAAGAGCTTATGCTTTCCTATATTAGTAAAGAATGGCATTTGAAAAAATTCTACAGCATAATATCTGGCCTTAATGTTGAAACATAAGACATGTAACAAACGACCTCAAAGGGAAACCATAAAATCACCACTACCACGATCACTACCACCTCTAAACAGTAATTCATTTTAATTGCAAAAGTAAATATATTATGCTCATGCAAGATGGTAAGAGATCTCAATAAATAAAGCCATGACTTTGTCATAAACACAGACACTTGGAAAATTATTCCCCAGAACTATAATCCTCCAACTACTGTGACATAGAGACCTTTCTGGTCTTGCAAAAGTCATGATCCATTAACATCAGCTGGTCCTGCTGAAGGCCACCCAGAATCCCTAAAATTACTAAGAAGGATGGATTCTGTGGAGAGAGTGTGGACGTGGGATATGTAGGAAGAGCATTAGATTTTGGTTCTTAAGACTGGGATTTTAATCCCACCTCTGCCTCACAAGATTTGACAAACCATTTAACACAACTGAGCCTTGATTTCCTCAGGTATAAAATGATTGAGGTCTAGGAGATAATCTTTAAGATCTCGTTCAGTTATAAAATCCTCTACTTTTAAATATACATATTTATTTTTGAATAGGTAATATATTAATCTGGATGAAAAGTTTTAGAAATTATCAAGGTATAAAAAATTATTCTGTGAAAAGTCTTACTTTTACCTTTGCCCCCATCTGCCCGGCTCTCCACCTCCAAACCCCACACAGAGGTTATCATTCTCATTAGTTTCTTATGTAACCTTCCAGAGTTTCTTCATAGAAATATGAGCAAACAGTTATCTCTTTTCTCACAAAAAAATGTATCATGCTATACCTACTGATCTGTATCACTCACAGTATATCTTGGAGAGGTTTCCATACTGAGTACATAGAGATTTTCTTCATTCTTTTCAATAACTGTATAGTTTTCATCAAACATACACCCAAACTATTTCACGAGCCCCCTACTGATAGGTACTTGGATTTCTCCCAGTGTTTTAATGTTACAAATAATGCTTCAGAAAACAAAATTTTATATACATTGTTTATCTATACAGTATATCCTCAGGATAAATTTCCAGAAGTGGAACTCCTGAGTCAATGGGTTAACACATCTATAATTTTAGTAACTATTGCCAAACTGCCCTTCATATAGATTATACCTGCCTGCACTTTCACCAGCAATGTACCAGAATCCTTTTTCCTCCTTACTCTCATCTAAACAGATTCCTTCTTTTTTCCTTTTGGGTTTCAAGCCCATCTGATAAATAAGTGGTACCTCAAACCTCTGTGTTATCTGAGGTTGTCTGTTAAAATCTACTCTCCCATAAGTTTATTTTTCTAATTTCTTTCCAATTTTCTCTTTTGCTACTTCCTTTATTTAACTTCTCACAGTCTCAACTTTTACCCCGCTGCTTTCTCCCCTGAATAAGCCTTGGATCTGTAAGTGACAACAAACCATACTACTTAACTACAAGCACAGTACTTAGTAATAATGGGTCCTTGGCTCCCAATTTAAATTTATTTTAATGCATCCCGGCTCCAAATCTAATTATTTTAATGTATTATAGCATCACATTATTGGATATCTGAGATCAATTTGGACTCTGGGAAAAATCTGACTTAGAAATTTAAAGAAATGCTTCATTAGCATTTTGTTGCATTTTCAAGCCATTTCTCAGACATTTTCAAGTTCTTGACCTCAACCACTTAGCAATACTGCACCGTCTCCATAATCACTGATGAGGAAACTAACGCTTAGAAAAGTTGACTGAGAAGCCCACGGTTATACACCTCAGTAGGATGGAGCTATAACTGACTTCTATGTCAAGCTAACTACTAACTAGGTTATTTTTCCACTACACCTACACGGTTCACAATATAAACTACTCCAGATTAACAAAAGCGTTACTTTAACGACGGTAAGACACCCTTCTAAGACACCCAAACCCTGCAAAATTTCACAGAATACTGACCTTTGGGAGGTGTGAGATTTACTCCATTTTTAAGGCACCATTGTACTGGTAAAATCCCCAAGGAATCCACATGGCACAGCATTGAGAGTTTACTAGGTTCTGGTCTCAGATCATCAATAGTCACTTGAAAAAAATGATTGTTAAAAACCTGAAAGAAAGAAAAAAAATAGGCCCAAAGGTTAATTCTTTCATATTATAAATACTGCTAACATAAAAATACTGGCACAGCTTCCAAAGGCAATAAATATATTTCATCAAAAATGATTTAAGCACAAACTGGTAGGTATTTCAATGTATACTAAATTAGTCCAGCTGCTAAAAATTAAAGTTGGACGTTGTGATCATACTAATGGAAAAATAAATAACTAGAATATATAGAAGAGAGAGAATAAAAAAGCAAAGACTTAGAGGGAGAAACCAACGGCCATACCAAAAAAATGAAATGGGTGCCGTGGAGTTGATTCCCACTTATAGCGTCCCTATAGGACACAGTAAAACGGCCCCGTAGGATTTCCAAGGAGCGGCAGGTAGATTCAAAATGCCGCCCTCTCAGCAGCCGTAACACTTGACCAATGCACCACCAAGGCTCCATAGTGGGAAGAAAAACCAACTCATGAAGACAGAGAAAATACAGCCTAGATGAAAACCAAGACAGGCACTGACAGGTTAATCTGGAATACTGGTTCCTATCATCCACAGTAGAACCAAACTCCTAATATCTTTCAAGACCCTCCAAGATCTGGTTTGACCCTCATTTTTCTAGTCTTATCATGCAGCACATCTCTCCAATTTAAATGCCCTACAAATACCCTATCCTGAGCCCAACAGGTTAATCACTCACTATCCTCATTCAGCGATCTTGCAGGCTAGAACGTCCCAACTCCATTTTGAGTCTATCAAAACATCATGAATTTTTCAAGATGCATCCCAAATGTCAATGCCGATGGAAAGTTCTCCCAGCCTCTCTTATTGAAAGAAAGGGCTCTCTGCTTCGTGCTCCCAAAGTATTGTATCTCTATATTGAAAATTTCCATTCTTTCTTGGGGAGTGATAACACATTTGTCTCCGCCAATAAAGCATAAGTTCTCTGAGGACAAAACAAAATCAAACCCATTGACCCACTGATGCCAATTCGACTCATGGCAACCCCATGTGTAGAACTGCCCCATAGGGTTTTCTTGGCTATAATCTTTACAGAAACAGATTGTCAGGCTTTTCTTCTGTGGTGCCACTGGGTGGGTTTCAACCGCTCACCTTTAGGTTAGCTGTCAAGCACAAACCATTTGCACCACAAAGGGACTTTCTCTGAGGACAGGGGCCTCTTTTTAATTCATCAGTGTATTTCCACAATGCACAGAAAATGCTTTCTAAGTAGAAATTCAATAAATGACTACTGAATATAAGAAAAAACATCAGTGAAGAAATAGGAATACGGTACGCTGATGGGCAAAGCAGAGACCAAAGATCAGATTGATCCTGCCACTAAAAAGCACAATGAATTTAAAGAACCTGGTAGACAAATCAGGCCAGAAAACAAAGAACACTCTCCCAACTCAATAGATGTAAACCAGGTTTTAGAACCTTAATACTTTTACTAAACTATGATTACTGGCTCCTTCATTTACAAAGTATTTCCTGGAAGCAACCTAGGTTAAGACTAAGCAGGAGAATAAATTCAGCTTCTGTTCTTCTCTAGTTTATTCCAGTAAATAGTTATAAACTGCTTGAGGTTTGCCTTTGAAATTAAACTTCAAGGAGCAAAGAGTCAAACATCATCTTTCCAATATGGCCTTCCCTGACAACCCTAACTAAAATCACATCCTCTCTCCCTACACCTAACACTCCATTATCCACTTCCCTGATGTAACATGCTATATTTATTTACTAATTAATTGTTTATTGTCTGGCTTCCTCCCATCAAATATAAGCTCCATAAGAGCAAGCTCTTCTGTCTGCTATGCTCTCATTGTCTAGAATAGTGCCTAGCACACAATGAATGTTTAGTAAATATTTGTTATATTAATGTTGTCTAGAATCTCAAGCATACACACACACATTCATAAACACATATGCATATTATAAAATTATACAGTTCTATAGACTACTGGCAGAATCTCTTAGTGCCACCGGACCATATAACGATGGACACTAAGGAACTCCAACCCCATTAAAATGCATGTTTATGTGTGCATACTTCAGAGGAAAAGGTTAATAAGTTTCATCAAATCCATCCGGGTTCAAGTTTCCAAACAGATCACAACCACTGCCTTCAGGTCTATCTGGTGCAGAAGCTAGAGGTCTGAGAACTGAAGCCTAGAGCAATTAATCGACTTTCCCAAGACCACACAGCTCACAGCTGGCAGAAACAGAAATAGAACCCAGGCCATCTAATTCCAGTATCTCCTCCTCTAAACTATATGGTATATTTCACATACATAGATGATAATACTGTTGTCATCATCATCATTACCACCATTATCATCTGTCAATCTCACAGGCTGTTTTTAAACACCAAAAACATAATCCTCCTACACTGATAAAGGTTGGTCATTTAATACTGGATCTACTACATGCTTGTCTGTATTGTTTCTGTTTGCTTTAATGCTATTTATTTCTTCAACAGTTATCTCATGAAGAAAAGCCTCAGAGGGAAAAAAATGAGAATTTTCATTATGATGAGTAATAACATCACATTTTCTTACATCCTCAAGCATAATATTCTAAAACATTTCCCAATGTTATTTTCTATATTAAAAATATTCTGATATGTCATTACATGAAGATGAGTCTTGATCTTGGGGAGGTATCTACCCAAGCTCTAAGAGGCAGACGCATACATAACAGTCCTTGCATTATACAACATACGGTCGATAAAACAAGAAGGACTGATACATATGAAACAGAATGACTTAAGTATTTTATCTTTGGTATAAAGTGTAAGAAAAAATGAAATGCAATGAAAAATGTAGGTTAAAAGTCAGTGAAAACTGCCCCCCTGACAGACACACACAAAATGAGATCTATTTAAAGAAAAAATTATTTTATTGTGAAAACCAAACGGCTGTCACTGAAAGTCTATCCAGTTTAAGATAAAGGTACTTGGGCTTGAAACTAATTGCAGTTAATATGTCACATTCTAACTTCATATATTACAACTATTTAAAGGCATAAAAACGTGAGATAGTTTACCAGTAACAAGCTAAGCCCATTTGTACCTCTTTTTAATTTATTTTATAAGTATTAGGTAAAGTTGACTTGGTAGACTTCCACAATGAGGAAGATGGGATACACAGTCCAGATAAATGGGCAGCTGGCTTCATTGTATTACCTGCTGCTGGAATGAAAGAAAAATTCTGCCAAGTTTCAAAAAGTTGTCACTCCTGAGCTTTGGAAAAATGTGCTACAACTACCAGAATACACAGTAAAGACCCTAAAGGCAATTTTAAATAAAAAGTCTTTTAATGAATGGTGTTATGAATGAGAGGGCATGGATTTCAACCTTGAAATTATCATTTAAAGTATAAGTCAATGTTTTTTTTCATATGCAGTTATTCTTGAAACAAATTAATAGTATTTAACGTGAAAAAATAATTCATATTCACTAAAGAAAAGAAACATTTAGGAAAGAAGAAAATTCATTATAATAACGATTTTCCATATTCTATAACACACTAGGAACACTAAATTTCTCAAACTTTATCAAATCTTGAATGAGAAAAACCAGTTTAAAACACAAATTGCTACATTAATAAGCCCAGTCTCCTTCAGAAACAGAAATTAAAATGGAATTAATTTTTGAACCTCTAATTAAGATCCCCCACTGAAATGGGCAAAAAGGCCATTAATGACAATACACATTGGCTAAGAACGCTAGTTTGTTGGTTTTCTCCACCACTGATAAGAGAACAGTTAAGGTAGAAACACATATTTTAGATGTAGGTGCCTTCATCCAGATTCCTACATAGGTGCCTTCATCCAGATTCCTTTTATGGGGAAGGCAAATCATTATCTTAAAGAGTATCAGATCATAATAAAAATATCTTTAAATCAAAAAGTAATTTCATTTAAAATCAGCAAGTCTTAGAAGCCTGAGTTTTCCTTTAGTGACTAGAAATAGATGAGAAAAAGGATGTAGAAGTACTGACACATTAGAGTTGGGAATTTACTTTCCATCATTACCAGGTTATTTTCAAACATAAATAGATCATACAAACTACTATCAGTGCAGGAAAAGCTGGTTACTATTATAAAGACTACAATAGGCAACTCATAAGTAGTTTATTTTAATGAGGAGAGGAACAAACGGCAGTTTTAAAGTGATTAATATATGTGACTATGGCTAATAAAAGGAGCCCTGGTGGTGCGATGGTTAAGCGCTTGGCTGCTAACCTAAAGGTTGGCAGTTCTAACCCACCAGCAGCTCCGCAGGAGAAAAGACCCAGAGATCTGCTCCTGTAAATGTTGTTGCTGTTGTGTGCCATCGAGTTGATTCTGACTCATAGCGACCTGAAAGAACAGAGTAGAACCGCCCCAGAGGGTTTTCAAGGTTGTAATCTTCACAGAAGCAGACTGCCACATCTTTCTCCCACGGAGCAGCTGGTGGGTTTGAACCGCAGACCTTTCGGTTAGCAGCTGAGTGCTTAACAACTTTGCTACCAGGGCTCCTTCATTCTATGCTACCAGTGATAAAAAGAGAGTTTAAAATAGTACTGCACTGGAGAAAAGGCAATCTTCTTTCAGTTTATTTGGCATTGCTGCATATCGGTATATTTTGTTTGGCTTTGAACTGAATGACTTATCTGATCTATTCTGGAGGCTGAGGTGAGGAGCAAGAGAGGAAAACCCACCTTAGTCACTGATGCAGGACAGATATGAAAGGGCTCACTCATATTCACTGTTTCTAGCTTCATACCAACTGTAAAGAAATGGCTTCGCAAATCTGCATGATCCTGCGGGGGAAAAGATAAAAATATTGAAGGCGACAGCATTGTAAATTAACTTGGAAACTGACTGGATGGTACCCTGGAACATTTTAGTGGGCGACAGCTGAAATTTGATTGAAATAATTAACCCTCCCATTTCAAATTTCTAATTATTGCAAGATACTGTGGACTTAATTATTTTCTGAAGTCTAAATTGCTTTTCCAAGGGAGAGGAAACAAGCCGTTGTAGTCACTCTTAAATTTACACTAAGCAAAAAGATCCACATTACATTGCTTTGGTCTTTCTAGGTGCTATTAATTGAAGCACAGCAGAGTAATATAGGCAGTCAGTCATCTTAAACACAGCAGAAGTAGCTTCAGAAAACGTGGCCTCTTGCTACTGGAGTTACTTCATGCGATTTCAGTTAGTACCTTGTAGGTGATACAGTTTGTCCCTGTTTCCTTGTGTTTCAGGGTGAATGGCTTACCAATTAGGTAGTGAGCTGATGATCTTGGAGATGTGCACATATAAGCATCTAAAACAGCTCTGCAAACAATCCAAAGCTGACCTCTACTCAGTAAAGATGAGCAACACTCCCTGTTTAATACTTGTCTGGCAGTTTTATAACCCACTCACACCAACCTTATGTGTGAGAGATGGGGCTTGTCTCCCTTCTCAGGAAAACAAATTTCAATATACACTTTAGCTATACAGCAACAGATGAGGTTGGCTGGACTCTGGACACCAGAATTTATCTTGCTGAGATGGAGGTCACCTCATAACTCACGGTCTGTATAAACAGCAGTGGATAAATACATGTATTTGCAGCCTGTCCCTTAGGAAGTAATAGCTGCAAATAAATTCTGCTATTTCCAAGTACATCAATTGGGTGTGAAGCATAAAAATATCTAGGGATCTATTGCTTTCTTTTATCTGAAAGTCCAAAGTGGCTTTCTGATTAATTCAGTGTTGCCATCCTACATCTAACTCAGAGGACTGCACACAGCCCAGCTGGACAGCGCCTGCTCCCCCTGCAAAAGTTGGTGAATAAACTCAGTATCCAGCATGGGACCAGAGAAGAGAAACTGCTTATGAAACTCCTCACCACTCTACTGCTTTAGCAATGAAGGTACAGACTATAAATGCCTGCAGAATCACAAGGACCCTTTCATTTGCCAACAGCAGTTTATAAAGGTCTCTGTAACCAATGGATGTGCAATAAATGCTGGGTCTGGCTGAAGCAAATAATGCCACATCCAGGGAGGGCAGCTAATCAGTATGAGAAGGCATGTGGTCAGTGTACAGTAACTTCTATGACAAAAACTAATTGAAAGAACTGGCCCATTCTAAGTCTTTATAAATTCCTTAAGAGTTTATAATAAACACTTTATAAAAATTATATGCATAAGGAGAAGCTTAAGGTAATATCCTGTGTATAGGTGATGTTTTTTTTTTTTTTCCCCCGCTGAAAATAAAGTGTTTGTTTATAAAGGTGGCTGAGGAAGATGGGTCAGAAAAGAAAAGGAATAATAAAAAAAAGTACATAAAGTTATTGCATATTAACACACACCTATTAACACACACCAACCACAACGCCAAGAAAACATTTCCACTACATTCCAGCACAACCATAAAGCACAAGTGTTGAGACTTAAGAACTAAACAGAAAATGACTAATTGACACCTGAAGTAAAAGATTAAAAGTTAATGTCCCTGTCAGACATCAATGCCTCCAATATCTCACCATGAATGGGAACTGAGTCACATTAGTGGATTTTGCACCCAACTATTTTTCCCTCTTAAGCACAAAACGCTTTAACCTTTTGAGAAGAAGAAATTATACTTTTCCTACTTTGCCTGAATACACTCAACAAGTTGAAGCAGTCATTATTACACTGTTTTACAATACACAAATGCCCTCACACACTAACCGCACACTTGTTTCTATAATAAATGGCCCCAGACACAGGTAATGTAATATTTTTAACAGTTCTTCTGTTTTCCTCTCTGCCATCAGCTGTCCTTGCTGCAGCATTCCCTCACTTCTACCCACAGCTATAAGCCTGAACAATCTTCATTTTGGTCCACCAATAATAGGAAACATGTAAATATTTCTCCGTTGCTTGTACCACTAGGGTTCTTGGAATTGTCATCTCTCACCTATTCTCCCGTCTGCTTCTCCTCTGAGTTTTCACTGTAGGGAAACTGTACTCCAGGTTTTTTACACACCTGCCGGCATTAATTGTCTCATGAGTCTAGCTTGTGTGCCCACTCTCTACCCCATATACTTGCTCCAGTCTTTGCTCTCTGAGTTGTTGTTGTTGTTGTTAGGTGCTGTCCAGTCGGTTCCAACTCACAGTGACCCTATGTACAACAGAACGAAACCCTACTCGGTCCTGCGCCATCCTCACAATCGTTGCTGTGTTTGAACCCATTGTTGTAGCCACTGTGTCACTCCATCTTGTTGAGGGTCTTCCTCTTTTTCACTGACCCTCTACCAAGCATGATGTCATTTCTCCAGGGACTGGTCCCTCCTGATAACATGTCCAAAGTACATGAGATGAAGTCTTGCCATCCTCGCTTCCAAGGAGCACTCTGACCTTCTGACTGTACTTCCTCCAAGACAGACTTGTTCATTTTTCTGGAAATCCAAGGTATATTCAATATTCTTTACCAACACCATAATTCAAAGGCATCGATTCATCTTTGGGTCTTCCCTATTCATCGAACAGCTTTCACATGCATATGAGGTAACTGAAAATATCATGGCTTGGGTCAGGTGCTCTCTGAGTAGAGTCGGTGAATTTCTAAGTAGGTTTGACCCATGACCTCCAACCCCATTTTAAATCCCAGGTTCTCAGTTTATCCTGACCACTGACTTGCAAGTCTTTAGCCAAGTCCATACCCACCCTACATCCCATGTTTCAAGTCCCACCTGAAAGGCTCCCAATCACAGCCAGCATGCACTGTTGGAGACTCCCTGTGGCATCCAAGAACCCTGCACTAACAGTTGTCGTTTAACTGCTGCCATATTTTATTCACAGTTGTCTAGTGAAGAATGGTTGCCTCTCCTTAGAAATGAAGCACAAAAGCTTAGGATGGCAATTGGTTCCTCAGATAACCCTCTTATTTCAGGGCTGAGAACTGTATTATAGAGCTTACTATTACTGATTTTAAGTGTATTCTGCTTTGGCTGACTGCATCAAACTATAGTTCTAGGTTAAGAAGGGATCAGATCACTTCGTGTATATATTACACATTCTCTTCCTTCTTTCCTGAAGGGTCTGTGTGCTCTTATGTCAATCACTGAACTTCTCAGTCTCTCTGCTCATCCATAAAATTACCATGAACATCAAAATCATAAATGGCCACGTGCCGGACAAAAATAAAAAAAAAACAGCAAGACATTAAAATATTTTTAAACTATTTCAACTTAGCATTATCCCAAAGCTTTAGAAACAAGTTTTCCCTTTGCCAGTCATGGCTCAGATTTCCTACATGTTAAATTACTTCTACTAGGTTTAAGTAGCAAATGCACAAACTTCTTACTTGTGGAAATGCATCTGTTTTTGTTTCAAACTATGCAAAACCCTTTAGTCCTTTTGTTTAATATACTGAGGAAAATAGCTAGACATTTTGAGAGGTAGCTGCATCCACACCCAAGTATTTATATTCTGGTTTCAAATACTCTCATGTACCTACAATATACTATTAAATGTGAACTCCTGATTTCAGAAATGAATCTAGAAACTCTTTCTGTATCCACAAGCTCTAACTTCCACTTTCTTACGGTCACTTTTCACTAACATGGAAAAGAAAAATCCTTCTGTGACTCTGTAGAAATCCCACCAGTTTCAAATGTTAAGTCAATATAATAGAAATTTCAAAGATTCAGGAGCAAAGACGTATAACTATTAGAGTTTGATTAAATCTGCTACTCATGTTTATGATACTCATGAATGATGATATCAGAAACATTTTACTACAAGAGGCAGGACAGTATTTTCTAAAGTGGTTTGTCAGGGACACCTCCAGCCACTGGAGAACTCTAAAAAAATATGACAGGTAACCATGTTGTATGTGCAACACTTTCTAGTGAACCCGAACTCTCTCATTTAGTGCCATGTGGTACATCCAAGAAAAACCTCAGAAAATATTTATTAAATTAAGCTGAAGGAACATGAAAAGCTAGATGATTTCTTGACATCAATTCCAATACCATGTTTTATCATTCATCCAATAAGCATTCATTAGAAAACACCAAGGTACCACACCAGGCTACTAGGTATTACATAGAATATACAAAAAAATCCATATTAAAGGAAGAAGGAAGAGACATAGAACAGGTAGGAGAGATCCTTGCTTAGAAGAAATCTCAGAATTTTTTTTGCTTCCGCATATGAAAATTAAAGATCACTATGGTGATGGTGGAGCCTTGCTGGTACAGTGGTTAACTGCTCAGCTGCTAATCGGAAGGTTGGTGGTTTGAAAGCACCAGTCACTCCTCCGGAGAAAGATATGGCAGTCTGCTTGCGTAAAGATTTACAGCCTTGGAAACCCTATGGGGTAGTTCTACTCTATCTTATAGGGTCGCTGAGAGTTGGGATCAACTTGAAGGAAACGGGTTTGGTTTTTTGGTTTTTGTTTTTTTTTTTAATGATGATGGTTGTCAAAGGATTTATAGGAGTGAATCTTAATTTGGAATTTGAAAAGCATACAATCTAAACTTAAAATGAGGAAAAGATTCAATTTAAGTAGTGAGGCAGGGCCTTAAATACCTAACTGAGGCATCAGAGTCTGATCTAAAAGGCAAAAGGAGATATTTGAGACTTAAGGAATATAGTTTTTTATTTTAAATGATAGTTGAAGAATTCAACAGCAGAGAATTCCCAAATAAGTCAATACATACACCTTCTGAGCTCTGTATGTGTATAATGCAATGATAAAGAACAATGATGAATCTGTGAAGCATCTCATAACATGGATGAAACTGGAGGACATTATGCTGAGTGAAATAAGTGAATCA